CACTTTTGCATTGCCTTCCAGTTGTCATTGTTATGCCAATTTCTACATACTTCATAAGTTGATTAGAAGGATCGCCAGCAACAGGTAAACAAGGATGGTGGAGATACCTTGAGCTCAATCATTTCATTGTGAACTACACTAAATGAAATGGTGTTATAAACTTTCTGCTTCTCATTGTCGTCAAATTCTAGAGCAGATGCTGCAATCAGGCGGTGACGCAATCATGAGAAAAACTTACGTGTATGAACTGATGTTAAAAAATAATATGAATTGTAAACCTGCCCATACAAAACAGGCCAGTTCCAATCGCCTAATATCAATCTATCTAACCAGACATGTAGAACATAATGTCTAGAGGCGGTGGGTAAGACTAAGAGATAACCTTTCTCAAAGAACTTGAACATGTCAATCCACAATTGAGGTTCCTTGGAACCTGGAATTTCCACTTCATGGAATCTGCGCAGTTCCTTGGCAATATCGGCAGCCAGCTTTGGATTTCTCATGTCTGCCAAGATTGGAATGAGTTAAAATCATGTCAATGGACAGATTCAGTTCAGCAAGAACCCTGAAAATGCATATGATTTATTTCAATGAAAGCGACCTACTGTCTCTGATTGTATACCAGTTTCGATCATCCAATGACCGGACAAGAAAAGATTTTGAAGGATAGAAGTTGGTGAATTAATCCATCTGTTTTATGATGGTCATATAAAACCAGAGAACTCTTGTTATTGTTTATTTGATTTGCTTTTGATTTTCTAACTATGTATACTTTTGGGGCGCATGTGAGTGCCCCCTTGGAGGCCTCTATGAAAAAAGATTTCGCTAATCAAAAAATTATATAACCAGTAGTTACCTGATGGGACTAACGTACGTGCATTGATAAAAGATTGCACCATCCCATTTGCAAAAATTCCCAGTAAATTTGCACCAAATCCTGCAGCCGAGAGGTATTTGATTGCCTGAAGATAATATTCAGTGAGCAAATACAAGTGAAGCATGCAAGTAAAACATCATCAATATTGTAAATTGAAGAGCAAACTAAGTTTAGATGAATAATCCAAATAGACAGAGAAGCATACAGATCAGATATAAGGGAAAAGAAAATGAGAACGTTGAGTATTATCTTAAACGACAAGTGTTTGTATGCCCGTATGTTCATATCCTTCAATGAATATAATTAGGGCTCGTTTGGAAGTGCTTTTAAAATGATTGAAAGTGCTTTAGATGTGAGTGCTTTTGAAACCAATCCTTACTAAAAATGCAAGTGAATCCTGAAACAGCACTTCAATTGCTTGAAGTGCTTTTGGAACCCAAAAACACTTTCACCAAAAGCGCTTTTCAGTCATTTTAAGGCACTTCCAAATGAGCCCTTAATCTTATAAATAGTACCAATACTAAAAGAATTTCATCTTCTACACTCATCATCAAAAAGTTCACAAAACTACCTGCAGTTCGCGTTCCCTATTGATAACATAATCGGTGTTAGGCCCGTACAACCTAACTGTCACAGACACGGTATTTCCATTCTCTTCCTTGACAGTCACCTTCAGCACTGCATGTATCAATGATCAATAACTCAGTTCAGCTCTGCACTGAAAAACGCTCAGAAAAATCGAATGAACAATAACGAATTCAAATTTTTGTTTTTGATAACATTTTCACAAAAGCGATCTTTCAATTGCAAACGACGACTTCTCTTAGCTCATAGAATCCAAACACAACAAACAAGAAGAACAACACTCACGTAGATTTGTGATGCCGCCCGAAACCGTCCCCACGGAGAAGCGAGAGTTCTCCAAATTTGACCATTTCCTAAACAGATCCTTGCACAACTCTCTGCAAATCAAATCAAAGCACATAGCGCATCAAAATTCAAAATTTTTACTTCCAATAAAATATAAGCAAACAGCAAAAATAACAAAACCGAATCCTTTTTTTTTTTTTTCACATTTATATCGTTTCCTGCAATTTATCATCCACCAAACTGAACTTTTTAAAAAGGCTATAAATTTCAAATCTAAAAATCGAATAATTCATCTGAGCTAAGAGCAAGTTGCAGAAAACGAAGAGAGATACTGACATGATGAGAGGCGAGATGTCAGAGAGAGGGACGGAGGGGTCGATGGAGAGGGAAGATGAAGGGATCTGAGAGGTGGAGCAATCAGAAGCTTGCTCAGCTACTTCCATGGCGTTCCAGATGTTCTTCACGGCTCCCATTTCTCTGTGTTTTTTTTTTTTTTTTTTTGCTGAACTTTTTGCTCTAATTTTCAAACGAATCCACAACCGAAATTCCAAAGCTCCAGCTTAACCGCATTGGGCGGGTGATGTGGAATGACCGATTTGGGCTTCCGACAATTTATCTTTTGCCACGTGTCTCCTGTTATGTTAGAGGATCTCGGAGGAGGATTCTCTCTCCTATTCCCATCTCCTTTCATCATCTCTTCTTATACATTACTTTTTGTTTTATTATTTTTATAAAAAATCAATATAAGATGTAGACGTGATTTAACCGTAACTTTTCAAATAGGTGGGCATGGAAATATAGAGAGATTAAGAGGGTAGAGAATCCTGCTCCGTGGATCTCTACGTGGTCCTAGCAAGAAAAAATCCTAGATCTTAACGCGGTGGAATCTATAAAACAATATTTTGCGGCTGGTTTGGAAGTGATTTTAAAGTAATTGAAAGTGTTTTTTGTAATGGTTTTGAAACCAATACTAAGTAAAAAAAAAAAAAGCAAGTGAATTCTGCAAAAGTACTTGAAAGTTTTCTCTCAAAATATTTTCACTCATTTTAAAAGCATTTCTAAACATTACGTTGCGTGGTCAATGACTTGTGTAATTTTGCTTCCAAAAGGAAAATAACATATATTCAAATTACTTGTATAAATTGGGAACATTTGGTTAATTTTTTAGTATTTTATTGATTTAATAATTCTTTGTCAACCCTCGTGATTCAACTACTTGGAATTCATCAACACACGTTACACATCCTTGACTTTATATGAGGTTTTTAGCAAAGAGGAGAGCAACATAAATAACATAAATATAAATAATTATTATATATAAAGTTGTTAAATTCTAAAAATAAGTAATCACATGATTGTAGTTAGAAAAATGCTGAAATATCTTTATAAGTATTCTTTACTTCCGAAAAAATCTATTGATGCGACAAGCTAATCACCTTTTTAAAGTATTTGGCATAGTACTTGACCAATATGGCACGTGTCAAGGATGGGGGTTTGAATGAAAATTTGGAAGCATGTGGTGTGATGGATGAGCTTAAAGTAGCAATAATTGGTTATGTGAGAGGAGTTTCATTCTATAAATTTCATCACATTTGTAATGTGAAAAGAGCTTGATTTTAGAAGTTTCATCACATTTGTAATGTGAACATGCTTAAATAATTATAACATTAGATCGAGATTCGAACTTAAGTGTACAGGTGGAAGTTATATACTATTCTAATTAATTTGGTTAAAGTAAGGGGATGTAGTCAATTTGGATTTCAAAAGATTTTAATAGACTTTTTTAAGTGACAGATTTAAAGGATTTTAATAGATTATACAATTCCATATGGATTTTGACAGATTATTATGGATTTCTATTATAGATTTTTATGGATTTGTAAGGATTTCTTTTTTGACTCCTATAACATAAATTATTTTCTCAGTGCACAATCTGAAAAAGACATAAACATATATATATATATATATATTGATATGGAAATATAAACCAATCAAATATATATTTTCTTTCCTTTTCTCATTTGAATTGTGATTCCTTTACGAAAAATAATTTTAACTAACCAAAACAAGTAGTGCTTCTTAAATCAAATGTCTCAAAACTAACCCTTTTTTCCTCAACAATTGATTAGTTCATAATGTGTTGTTCAATCTAAGTATAGCTTGTGATATCCCACATTGTCCAGGGGAGTGATCCTTATATGTATATTCTCATCCCTACCTAGCACGAGACTTTTTGGGAGCTCACTGGCTTCAGGTTCCATGAGAACTCCGAAGTTAAGCGAGTAGCGCGCGAGAGCACTCCCATGATGGGTGACCCACTGGGAAGTTCTCGTGTGAGTTCCCAGAAACAAAACCGTGAAGGCGTGGTCGGGGCCTAAAGCGGACAATATCGTGCTACAGTGGTGGAGCGGGTCCGGGAAGTGGTTCCCCCCCCGGGCCGGGATGTGACATAGCTACCAATATAAATAGGCTTTGGAAGATGCTTGCACCCTAACACTAACATGGTTACACGAAAAAAGAACAAAAAGCTTGAATTGGCAATAATATTCTTAGTAGTAATTTCCAAGAGTTCAATTAACATGGTAAAAAATTAACACCTTCATATAGAACGCATTAGCATTACAATAACTGATTGTAGCCATTAACACCTCTCGTCAAATCATTACAAGAAACACTATTACACATTCCAAAAAAAAAAAGGAAATAAAAAATTAAAAAAATATTGTAGTTTGCTACTGGTACAATGATGGATGAACGTGAAAGGAAATCACGTTGGCAGGTTCTATGTCTGAAAGAAAATGGAGAGTGAGAATGAAAGATTGAGTTGCAAAATGGAGAGAGAGAGAGAGAGAGAGAGAGAGAGGGGGGTTGAAAAGAAATCATATGGAGATGGAGGTAGGATTTTGTTACGCTTATTTTAAAAACACTTCCAAATAAGTCTTTGTACTCGTAAGTTATCAACTAAAAGTGATTTCACACACACATGTCAGAGTTTTATTAAAAACTAAGTACTTATGAAAAGCGCTTTTATGCTTTTTGTCAAACATAACCAAAAAAAGCTTTCGATCGTAAATGAAATCATTTTCAACCCTTACATGAACAGTTCAAAACAGGCCCATAATCATTGTGTTTATGTTATGGGATTTTGTAGGCCATGGGCCTCTTTATAAGCTGTTTGGGTTTCAAATGGGGCGAAGCCCAATTGTTTTAGGCTGACGGACGAGATAAACCTTCAGTTTAATAACAAGCGGGTCAAAAAACCCGGATTTCCTATTCGGTAGAAAAATTACTGCTTTGAATCAATCACTCCTGTTCTCCCGTCTCCGGCGTCTCTCTCTCCTTCGCCAAAACCTCCGCCGCTTCTCCGCCCAAAGCCTCCACCACCGCTCTCTCACCCTTATTGTCTCTTTTCTCTCTCCATCTCTCTCTGTGTCTAGCACACACAGTGTACACAGACGATGCAGAGGCAGCTGCTGAAGAAGCTCACTCTCCGACCTCCCAATGGACTCACCCAATTCAATCAGCGGGTCCGGACACATTTTCCGCTCTCCCAAGCTTACGTTCCCGCTGAATCTCTCGCTCATAGTTCCATTTGCTTATATATCCATTTCTTGGTTGGGTTTTTTGCAGAGAGAGATGCACAGCAGGAACAAGAAGGCGATGGAGTTGATAGCAAAAGGCTGGAGCGCCCTCAAGGAAGTCGACCGAGTCATCGATTACTGCGAGCTCAACGATCGCCGCCTCATCCCTCTTTTACGGGTAATTAATTAGTTTAATTTCTGATGTTAATTATGTATTTTCTCAAACCCCCATTTGTGAATTTTTATTTTTGTTTATGAATTTGGAATAAATTTTTATTTTTTGATGTAAATTATGTATTTTTCTCAAAACCCATTTGTGAAATTTGTGTTTTTTGTTCATGAAATTGTGATAACTATTTTTTTTTTTTTTTATGTGAGTTATATGTTGATATTTTTGGGTTTTTGTTGTTTGAATTGGTGTCAGGGAGCGAAGGAGAATTTTGAGTTGGCACTGGAGGCTGACAATTCGAATACCCATGCCAGGTATTGGTTGTCCAAATTGCATTTGAAATACCATGTCCCGGGAGCCTGCAAAGCTATGTAAGTTCGATTTATTCGTTGGTTTAGTCGTCTCATTTCGGTGTTTTCTCGTGTTGCTTTTCTGATGGTGGTCTGCATTCCCTACATTACTGCTTGGTAATGCATCACGATGGAGGTCATTTAATTGATACTTTATGCCACTTTTCGTTATAACAGAGGAGCTGCTTTGTTAGTTGAAGCGGCAGATATGGGTGATCCGGATGCACAGTACGAACTGGGTTGTCGTCTTAGAGTTGATGTAAGAATTCTAAGAAATTTGTATTTGAAGTATAGAAGATTTTGCTTTTTGTGTTTATTGGTTTAGCTTTCTTAAGGATAGTTTTATGTTCCCCTAACCTATGAAGTTTAGTGACTCCGGCATTTAAGTTCTCCCCTATTAGTTCACTTTGCTTTTGGTTTATATTACTGAGTTTCCAACTGTTTTGTTTTTTTGTTAGAATGAATATGTTCATTCGGATCAGCAAGCTTTCCATTATATAGAGAAGGCTGTTGACCAGGTATGTTTTCACAATGTAGATGCAAATTGTAATGATTCTGAAATGTTTTCAAAGCCTTACTTGAGCTCGCTATGTTCTAGTTGCATCCAGGTGCTCTTTACCTTCTTGGTTCTGTGTATCTGACGGGAGACTGCGTGAAAAAAGATATTGCCTCTGCAATGTGGTGTTTCTATAGGGCATCAGATAAGGTAAAAGAGCTCCTGCTACCCCCTAGTCGGTTTCAGCAATGGATCATCGATGAGTGATATGCTTGTGGGTGGAAACTAAGTACTGGTGATAGAAAAATGGACATTGTTTAAACTTGAAGTGCTTTAGTAGTCGTAGATTTTTGTTGGGAAAAAAATGGTGATCTTTGAAACGGGGTTTGATATACTTGATAAGCTATTATGACATTTACAAAGATGAGTAAATTAAAATTTTTGTATTTCTTGACTTGAATAGCCCACTTTCTTCCATTTGCAAAATGAGTTTTAAGTTTCGTGATAAAAAACATGGTCGCATTTTTGCTTTGTATATACTGAACGCTTGTTTCTCCAGACGATTTATTAGTTTTAGCAACTCTCTCTCTCTCTCTCTCTCTCTCTCTCTCTCTCTCTCTCTCTCTCATAATTTCACTGATTTGTTAGACAATCAGTTTTTATGAATCTTAATGTCCGCTCCTCAAATTGACAATCTGTTAACTAGGTATACAACATGCTGGTGCAACTGTTTTGCATAGATAGGAGATAGAAAAACTTTTATCACGTACATGGAACCTCAACATTGTTTAACTAGTTCACCATTTTAAACTGTTATTCCTTTTAATATGTGCAGGGACATCCCGGTGCAGCTATAGCATTTGGATCTCTTCTTCCTAGAGGTCTGTTCTTCTAACCACGCCTCTTTTGTTTTACGTATAATTTGATGTCCAATCATAGTCATAGACCGTGTAACTATGAAGGATGATTTGGAGTTTCACTGGTAGTTTTTGGCGATCATTCTATTTATACAAAAAGGGTTCTAAACACCTATGGTATCACCAATTGTTAAAAAAAATGGCAGGGCTATAATTTATTTGTCTGCATACATTTCCTTTGCCAATTTTGTAACGATTTTTCTACTCTTAATGATAAATTTGCATGTCTTAGGTGCTGAAATCCCCGAATCTGTGACGAAGTTCTCTTCAAAGAGGGGTCCTTTGGCCAGAAAGGAAAGTGTAACAGATCCCATAGAGATGGCAAGAGAACGATTCCAGATTGCTGCGAAAGCAGGATGTGATCTTGGACTTAAATGGTTGGAAAGACTTGAGGAGGAAGAGAAACATCTTTTGACCGGATCTGAAATGGCCTGAACGGGGGTAAGTCCTCCACCCGCCGGAGGCCTTACCATAGGTCTAAATTAGGTGAAATTCTTGCATAAGACGCCCTGTAGGATCCATATGTAGAGGTGTCACATACTGATATATGTACTCTAAAATTTGTTAAGCTTCATATTTTACATAATACAAAAACACGTCCAATAGTCATACCGGTCTTCATCTCATTCAACGGCCCCTGAATGCCCACAAAATGCCTCCTCAATGAGGACAAGGGGGTCGTACTCAAAAGTTCAAAACTCAGATTACTGAAAAATTGTAGATGATTACTACGCGGACAACATTCACCAACCAGTTTGTTTCCATCAACCAGTATTGTTTCCAAATTAAAGCATAAATCATATGCTAATTCACACAAACTTTTCATTAAAAAAACACCAAACCGGTCGCCGTTGAATCTTGATACATACATTAGCACTACAAACCACCAAACACAACGACACTTAGAGTTCGTTTGGATGTACTTTTAAAATAACTGAAAGTGTTTTTAGAGAAAATATTTCTGAATTCCAAAAGCAGTTTAAATCCTTTCTACAAGAAGCACCAATTATGTGCTTCTTCCAGGAAGCACTTTTAAGTATTTTTTTCAGGATTTATTAACATTTTTACTAAGAATTATTTCTAAAAATATTTTCACCAAAAACGGTTTTGGTTATTTTAAAAATACATCCAAACGAGCTCTTATTTAATGTTCTAAAAGACTGACACAACTTAGAAATTACAAATGCATTTGTCTCCACTGCATTCTATCTATTAAATCCAAATACTCTTCAGAGGGCAGTTTTTAGTCGCGTAGTCCTTCTCCTTTCCACAACATTCACAAGGACCATATCTAAGTTTTGCTTCTTCTTCTTCAGGTGTAAGTTTAGTCCCAGAGCCAGAGCCTGCAGCCATTCGTTCATTGACTTCTTCCGCCGTTTGTTTGTGGTTCCGTTGTTAAATACCAGCGGATTGACGAGTCCAATAAAACTTCACAAACCGTAAAACAAAAATAATCAAGAGCGTACCTATAGCCAGCCAATACGCCACCGTACCTGGCGGAAACTTGTCCGCAGGGCGACACTCTTCGTAATAAGTTGATGATGAGTCTTGAACCTCTGGTTGTTCTTCTGCCTTGCTATCTGTTTTCACATTGCAGTTCCATTTTAATGTAAGTACAAATAAAAACAAAGAAAAACTAATAAAAAGAGCTTGAAAACTTTAACTTTTAACGATAAGGACAAAATAAAGGCATAATACCATCATCAATTGTGGCCACTGTTTGATTCTGCCCTTCGCCGGATGATCTTGACCCCCCGTCGTACTTGACTGGTGGTTTGGCTTCAGAGTTGAGTGCGCGGCGAATCACGGGAACGGATACGCGGCGGATCATGCTTTTTTCTGAGAGAGAAGAGATGGAGAAGGGGAGAAAAGGAGATATAGGGCATGCTGTATAAAATATAGAGATAAAAATTAAAATCCAAAGCACAAAATATTAAAATGAATAAATAAATAAAATAAGAGATAATGATGGATGGTGGTTCTTGCTCGAAGATAAATTTATATGCTTAGTCGGAACATAAATGGTATAACTGAAGTGCAACAATATAAAAACCATACTTCGAAAATATATTTTCATCAGCCATTTATATTAAGATAGGTAAACTACAGTTCGACCACCTAAACTATTATTCAATAGAAATTGATCTTTTGAATTATTTTTTGTACCTAATCCCATCTCATGGAGTACAAAGAAGCAAAACACAATGTCCGATGATCGGACATTCTACTGACCGGATAGAACTCTTCCGAGATTTCTCGAGACTGAGTTGATATGCGTCCGTATGAAGTATGCCACAATCTGATCCTGTACAATCTCTACCCTGCATGAAGATTGAGTATTTTGTATACATTCTTCGTATTTGGTGTATGCTTTGGACACTGGCAAACATCTTCCCTACCAAATATTAGAAATTCTCCTAGGATATCTGTAATGTATGCCCCATAGTAGGTCCCATTTTTCTACCATTTTCCCAGTCGATAACTATTCATAACTATTACCTTGACGAAATGTTAGAACAAATATTATACAACTGAACCGTTTACATGCTCTAAACCATGTAGGGTTTAGGGTAAAATGTAATATTTTCTATTAGAAAGCGATATTAAGTTCAAACTATTATCCAAGCAACCCCTACATTATAGGGTTCTTAAAAGGTGACTCAATAACGATTCAACATGTTAACAGAGTTTAACGGATGATCCAATAATTACCTTGATTCATTAATAAATTAACTCAAAATTTGTTATTTTCATATCAGATTAACAGGTAATGTAAAAAATTATTAGACCTATATATACATATAACTTTTTAATTGTGAGATCTTGATTTTATGTTTTTCATCATAAATTTAACGGTTAAAATACTGAAAGAACATGATACTGAGACTCCAGAGAATATGATTCTCGTGAGTACTATAAAATCTCATGCTTTAGTACATGCATGGCCCCCCATATAATATTGGGTCCCACCAGAGGCTGTACGCCAGCTACATAGCCAATAGCCGCAGGCCCGCAACTTGCGGGTAAAGAACTAAAGATGCCAAAATCCGATTCTACCCTCACGGCCGTTGGTTTCCTCGATTCAGAAGTCCACTCGCATTCTTGGCGCGTGTTACAGCACCAAAAAGTCCAACATTTCCCAGCATCAGCAACCAGCCACGTCACCACTTGAAAGATGTTTTGTGAGGGACTTGGATCCTCTCCTAAGCTAGCCCCAACAGAGTTTAGGGATCAATTGATTTCAGCCCTTCAATTTGATCACGCGGCCAAGAACGGCCAAGGTAGTGCACCCAACTCTGTCCAGCTCGTTGGCTTCCTCACCCTCCTTGTCTCGGGTGCCATTCTCCTCCTCCTCATCGGCCTCACCGTCACCGCCACCATCCTCGACTTAATATTCTTCGGCCCCTCATCATCGTCTTCAGTCCCATATGGGTTGCTTGTGGAGGCATTTGTGGGGGTGTTAAGGTTGCTGGGTCTCGGAGCTCTCTACCGTTGCTGGGTTTGTGCTGGGTTTTGGTGATGGTTGGTCATGGATGCGTTGAGAGAGAGAGAGAGAGAGAGGAGGGGGAGGGAGAGTGAGAGAGAGGTGCGGGAGATGTTAAGAGGGGTTGGAGAGGGACAGCTGTGGGGAACCGTTCTTGGCCGCGTGATCAAATTGAAGAGTTGAGATCAATTGATTCCTAAGCTCCGTTGGGATTAGCTTAGGAGAGAATCCAAGTCCTTTTGTGAGAACCAATCGGTTGCCTTACAACTCCATTGTATACCTCTCTTTCTTTTATTTATTTATTTATTTTTATCATTAGTTAAATTTGGGATGGGGGGAATCGAACTTGGGTGAGGTGGGAGTTTCTTAGCTCTAGTGCCACTGCAACTAGGCCCTCATCCTCAAAAAATTTGAATACCTCTCTTACTACCCAATAGAAAGCCTCCACATCACAAAATAAGAATAAAATTCGTCAAACAAAAATTCGCAGGCTCAGAGCACGCGCGCAATTAAATGAACGTGCGAAACACCCTCTCTCTCCCCCACATGCATCTCCTGAGAGGAGCGAGAAAACGTCCCTGTCTCTCTCTCTCTCTCTTTCTCTCTCTAGACACGAAGGGGTTTTTAGGGTTTTGAAGGCTTTCTTCATGGGAAAGGAAAACGAAAAGAGGAGAGAGAAACAAGAAAGGGAAAGAGAGTGAGTGAGTTTACAACACACTGTCACTGCAACCTTTTCCCACATCGTCTCCATCGCGCTCTCTCTCTCTCTTACTTTCTCTCTCTAAAATACGGACACCATTTCGATATTCGAAGCAAACCTCCATCCGTACGGATCCCCAAAGCCTTTAATCTCTCTCTCTCTACATTTTTATAAAACCCTTTTATTTTCTCGCCATTTTTCATCTGGGAATTTGTTTTACAGAAAAAAACCATCGGAGATGACAATGCCATGGTCCGATTCCTTCACCGAGTCAACTCGGAACCCGACTCGCCGACCTCTGTCCAAATACATACCTCGGTACCTCCGAAACAGTGGCGACGGCGTGGGGTCGTACGGTTACGGCTACGCGCCCCCAACCGAGTTGGCCCAGTACGGCTTTCGGCAAAGCTACGCTGGTGGTCCCGGAAGGCAAGCCGGCCGGAACGGTCCGGGTCGCGGCGGCGGAGGACGAGGTCGCGGACGTGGTGGCGGTCGCTTTTGGGCTCAACCGCCCCCAAACCCGACCCCAGACCCAAACCCGTTTGATAATGTCTCTGAGGAATTTGATCAGCTCAAAGTCACTGAGGACGAAGGCGATGGAAATGGCGGTATCAATTTCGACGCCTACGAAGACATCCCGGTGGAGGCGAGCGGCGAGGACATTCCGCCGCCGGTGGACACGTTTGTCGAGATCGATTTGGCTGAATGCTTGAACGAAAACATCAAGCGGTGCAAGTACGTGAAGCCCACGCCGATTCAGCGGCACGCTATTCCGATAGCCATGGCTGGCCGCGACTTGATGGCCTGTGCTCAGACTGGGTCCGGCAAAACGGCTGCGTTTTGCTTCCCCATTATCAGTGGTGTCTTGAACAACGGTCTGGGGTTGTCGCCGGCTCGCGGGGTGGATCGCGGCGTGTGCCCCACCGCCCTCATTTTGTCTCCGACGAGAGAGCTGGCTGGTCAGGTATGTAAATATTTGCTCCATTGTGGTCGTTTTCGAAGTTCATGTGCTAATGGGTTTATGATTTTGGCTAATTTTGTTTGGCGTTTGCTTTTTAATTCAATTTTTTGGCAGATTCATGAGGAAGCTAAGAAGTTTGGTTATCGGAGTGGGGTGAAGATTGTTGTTGCTTATGGTGGAGCTCCAATTTCTCAGCAGGTTTTTGTCGTTTTCTTAGTGATTCTCAGCTCTATATTTTTGTATTTTGTTGTTAATTTTTGCTGATTTTTCAGATGAATTGGTATGTCGTGTTTACTCACCCGATTCGGGTTTTTGTTCTGTTGATGAAATATTATCATGATCATATAAACATTTTGCGTAGAAGATGTGTTAAATGTTCTGAATCCATTTAACTTTACTCACTCGATTCGCGGTTTGTTCTTTTTTAATATATTAGATATGTTAATTTTGAATGACTTATGGTGTAATCCTTGATTCTGCAGTTGCGTATTCTGGATAGAGGTTGTGATATCCTTGTTGCAACACCCGGGCGCTTGGTGGACATGATTGAGAGGTCACGAGTTTCGCTGAGTAATATCAAGTATTTGGCATTAGATGAGGCTGATAGGATGTTGGACATGGGTTTTGAGCCTCAGATAAGGAGGATTGTTGAACAAATGGACATGCCTCGCTCTGGTGCAAGACAAACGTTGCTTTTCAGTGCTACATTCCCAGATGAAATACAGGTGGGTTTATTAAATGATAATGCTCTCTAGCGTGATTTGATGTTATGCTTGGTTTGTTGATTTATTGTAGCTGCGTATTGTATGATTGTTCTCTTATATGTTTGTATTTGTAATTTTTGTTTCTCTCAGAGGCTCGCTGCAGATTTTCTGTCAAACTACATTTTTCTATCTGTTGGAAGAGTTGGATCAAGCACAGGTCTCATTGCACAAAAAGTTGAACTCGTTGAGGATATGGACAAAAGAAACCATTTGATGAAGTTGCTTAGCCAGCAGGCAAATGGAGCTCATGGAAAGGTATGATAGCAATTTGAGAATTCACGAGCCATGGAAAATGTTAACTGCAACATCGATTTGGCAATGATATGGTGTATTTGATTGATACTTTTCAAGATCTGATGCTTAGATTAATATTGTTCTTGCTTCAGGTTGCTTTAACCTTGGTGTTTGTGGAGACAAAGAGAAGTGCAGATTCTTTAGAAAACTGGTTACGCATGAATCGTTTTCCAGCTATAGCTATACATGGTGATAAAGTGCAAATGGTTCGTTTATCATTTTTTTTACTTCTTTATTTCCACATATCTTATTGTTTAGATGAAATCTTTTGGTTGTGTGCGTGTATTTACCGGATGTTTTCTGCATTTGGTACAAATACAATGAGGTTTAGTAGCTGTATGGATTCTTTTTCTTTATTGCAATTGGCTTAATCAACATTTGTGGTCAGAGGAAAAAAGAATTTTTGTCTTGGGATTTGTCTCAATGTCTTCGAAACTTGCTGTAATTAAGGTTAAACATGTTATTCTGGACTGTTAATAAAAAAAATTATTGTCTGCCCTTTATGCTATCTAAATTATTATTTGACTTGGCCAATTTTGAAGGAGAGGGAGCAAGCTTTGAGATTGTTTAAGTGTGGCAAGACTCCAATATTGGTGGCGACAGATGTTGCTTCACGAGGGCTAGACATCCCTCATGTTTCCCATGTCATCAACTTTGATCTGCCAAAAAGCATAGATGACTACGTTCACAGGATTGGACGAACAGGGCGTGCTGGAAATTCAGGTCTTGCAACTGCTTTCTTCAATGCCAAGAACCAGCCACTCACCAAGGGACTGATCGAGCTGATGCAGGAGTCAAACCAGGAGGTTCCAAGCTGGCTGAACGAATATGCTGAGGGCGAATCACAGACGTACAGCAGTGGTGGTGGTGGCCGGAACAGGAGGTCTGGTGGCAGTAAGTTTGGTGGCTATGACTATCGTAGGGACTCTCAATCTGCGCATGACAGTTATTACGGTCCAAGCAGCTATGGCTATGGAGATTATTCTGGGGGCATGTCTGCTGCTCCCTATAACGATGCTACTGCTGCTGTTCCAAACAGCTACGGAAACTATGAAACTATTGTTGCTGGTGGGTGGGATTAGAGATCTGGAAACTATGAAACTATTGTTGCTGGTGGGTGGGATTGGAGATCTGCAGAACACCTTGGGTAATATTTACAGAGGCTATATCTATAGATATATCTATATCTATATATGGTAGTAAAATTAATATATAAAGGTGCAGAATTAGTTGCTGAAGACTTAAGTTACAAGTTGGAGATTTAAGTGATTAACCAAATGGGTGCTTTTGGAGCTGCTGCTAACATGCCCCTTGCTTTTGGTATCTGTTTTTTGAGTTGGAAATAGTCTCCCAGATTTGGAGAGCAACCACATTTTGTAAAAGTGATGTGATCCTGAATCACAGTTTAATGGATTATTATTTCCCTCTTCAAATCTCAATCCTTGGGCTTCGTTTTTGCTGATTTTTCACGAGGTTAATGACAAAAATTAACTGTTAATTAAAACATTAAAAACGGTTGGAGAAGTGGGGTATCGATCCCCATACCTCTCGCATGCTAAGCGAGCGCTCTACCATCTGAGCTACATCCCCTGTTGGATATCTTTCTCCATTACACACACATATATATATATATATATATGTTGAAATCCAACTGCCCGGGGGCTTTGGGGCAGCTATTGTTAAGTCACGAAATAAACAATCTACCTAACAATCACACTTATTTTGCAGAATTTGTAGATAAAGGTGAAGGTGAGATGAAAAGTGTTGTGTCTAATTGCTTCTTTCTTCATTATAGTTTCCTTTCTTTGTAGACGGTTTACATATTTCGATATGTGTCTTACACAATAATACGAACGCACCCCATTTGCAAGTTAAATATTGGAGGAAACTAAAAGCCCGTTTGGCATTCGATTCAAATCCAACCTTTTTAAAAGGATTGAGTACAATTGTAATCTCATAAACATTTTTAGAATATCTCAATCGTATACATTCCTTTGTATTTTATTTCAATTTTCTACCTCTATTAATTTTTTATTAATTTATCGATTATAGGCCTAAGTGACAGTCATGGAGCCACTTCATGTGGGACCTACTGCTGCACAAATTGGAAAAAAACAAAAAAACAATTTTATGAAATTCATCAACTATCATCCTCATCAACCTTCAGACCCAGCACCTCTTCCCACTCATAAGTCAGAGGGACTTGTTCAGCCATCCCACGCTTCTCTCCACCATCAGCTCAAACTCCTCCTCCCCATTCCACCCCACCACATGCGGCATCCCCTACAAATTGTGCCTGTCCCCCGCATCATTCGACGAACGGCGACTTCCTCAAATTTATTACCAACTCCGTCAGCATCCACGCACCTTAACAGTGCAGACTCGGATAAAAAGGTATGCGATCAACTGTGTTCTTCTAATGCAGAATCTTTCAGATTTGGATACCGAACCAGATGGTGCTCATCGAATCGATGGATTGGAGATGGTACTAAACCCCAGATTCTCCGTTGGATTTGTTGGGTGCTAGTTTCAAATATTGGGGATTTGTGTGAGCAGTGGTGGAAGAAGTTGAGCCTCCCATCCAAGCAAAACCAAGATACTTTTCTTTTCTTTCACTTTTCTCATAATTTAAAATTTAGATCCTTTGCCTTCGGTAATTTCTTGTCTGGGTTTTTCATATTGCATTTTAGATGTGGTTTGTTCTTCAATTTTGTGTTAGGGTTTGGAATTCTTAGCATTTGGTTGTTTGAGTAAAGGTGGAAGAACAAAAGCCAAAAAATGTTGGGTTTTTTTTTTTAATTTTTAAATTAATTTTTTTGCTACGTCATCATTTAATAATCAAATTAGCATTGTATTGAAATAAAATAATAGTAAATGTATAGATTTGAAATGTTTTAAAGATATTGTATGAGATTATAATTGCATCTAAATTTGAGGATGCAAAATGTAATTTACCTTTTTAAAGGGAATTGTTATTAGCACTCTAAAAATCTCATTCTACACTCCAAACTTTCAATATTTGTAAAAATACACTTATGAGAAGTGTAAATGATTTTTGGACTGCCAATAACACTTTCCTTTTTAAAATAAAAAACAGTTTCTGTGTGTCATGTCAGAATTCATGTTTAGTAAAATTTTCTCAATAACACAATTCAAAACTAACTCAAGAAAAAAACTCGCTTCCGGAAAACAGAAAGGGGAAAATTTACAATTTTTCAATAAGAATCATCTCTCTGTTCTCTCTTTCCGCTAACATAAACAAATTTACGAGGACGCCACAAGCGCCGTTTAATTTTGCCCCAAAATCCGTTAGATTTCAGCGAGATTCGTTCGATTTCACCAGATTTGTTCGATTTCACTGCAACGAATTTTTGAGTCTTATGAATTGTAGTCAGAAACCATGTTCTTGAAAAAAGAAATCGAACTTTTCAAGTCCAATTTTCTAAATAGAGCCCTAAGAGATTAGGTCATGATTCAAACACACTTTACCTTCTGGAAGACTACTTGAACTTTACTTTTCTTCACCCCCAAGAAACGAGTTTGGGAGGGATTGGTTGGTGCTTGTTATGATGAAGTAAAGATCACTTACAGTTTGATGATTGTCCAGCCAAACCCTTTCAGTTTATGGACTAAAAACCACCTTGCTACTTTTCGATCAATGATCCAAAACTGGAAATTTGGAGTCCTTTTGGCGCGCGTATAGTTGTATTAGGTTTCTTCATCACTCTCAGTGAGCATCCGCTTGCAAGCCTCGTAGCACATGAAGGAAATCCCAGCAGCAGGGACCAATTTCATGTAGCTCGGCCCCAACCCTCTGTACAAGCCACTGATTCCTTCGCTGGCAAGTATGCTCGAAAGAGCATCAAGTATGTGCTTGTATTGCCTCCCACTGAGAGCCCCAACCTGCATTCTCTTCCGAGCCACCTCAAGCGGGAAAGTTGCACTGCTCGAAATTGCAGCAGCTGCTGATCCGATCAAAAGAGTTGTTATGTTTCCGATTTCCTCCTTTTTGAAAGCTTTCTTGTAAGCTCTTGAGAGCGCGTCATAAGCAAAATAGTTGGAGGCAGCGTATGGAATTACGCCAATTAAACTCGGGGTGAGGCCTCTGTATAGCCCTGCAGCTCCCTCCTGTTGGACAATTTTTGAAATTGCGTCGAAAAAGTTGTTGTACACTCCTTTCTGCAATCAAGTAAAATATGTTACTGTGAGTACTAATGCAGAGAAAACAAACCAAACGAATTCAATAGTCCTTTCAAATTTCGCGAACCAATTTACCTGGACGGTTAATCGTGTTTTTAACAACTCGAGAGGGTATGTACACAAGGTTGAGCTAAATCCGGCAACAGCGCCTGCGATTGATGAAGCCGGGATAGGGATTTTCAGGTCTTCTTCGGGTCGAGTTAAGTGCTTCTTCACCGTGTCATAAGCAAATAACTGCACAAAAGAAGAGGTCGAAATATGAAGTTATCCAAGTCTAGTTATAGAATGAAACATTCTTTTTTATCGTTAATATGTCACTGATAATGTGTTAATATCATTGTTACTAACAAAATTTAACGAGATGTTGTCAATACACAATCATTTTTTACTGACGTTATGTACATAGAATTTTTGTACTAGTATCTTACTCGTCTGGAATATCATACCTCAATAGGCCTTGTTTGGAGCAACCCTGATGACATTGACCAAAGTACCCCTGAACAAGCCCTGCCATCCATCAGTTTCCATGATAGACTGAAAAACATGAGAAGCACTGGAGTGGCCACTGCCCCCCACCATTAAATGCGTCCGTATCGTCTCCAGCGGAGCAACCGCCATCCGCGACACCACTCCTGCCACCGCTCCACTCACCAGCCTCCTCAGTGATGCATTCCCAACCTTTATTTTCAACCTCAAACCACCACCATTACCTTTGATTTTGTTAACTTTCAGCAGCTCTTCTGCTTCTCCAACCTCGAACAGTGACTCTGCCTCCACCAACTCGTCAACCCTACTAATTCGCAGCCTGAAATCCGGCGTGGGCATGTATGTCATGTACGTGGAGCTCAGAAGCTTTGTGGTTTGGTTTATGGAGTTCTGTGGACTTGGTGTGATACCAAATCCTCCTGCAACTTGTCCAACGCTGGCAAACAGTCCACCGGATTGTGAAGTACTATTGAGAGGACTGCGTTGGATTCTAATCCCGGAAGAACAAGAGAATACTACATCGTCGATTGTATTTTCAGTGGCCTGCAATCTTCTCCTATCCATTAATCCAAAAGCTTGGAACTATATAAATATCAAATCTTTGAGGAGAAAAAAGAGTTGGGTCGGCTTAAAATGATTAGGTTTTGTTTGCCAATACTTCGAAACTAGGATAACCAATTATATTTGACTCTTGGGGAAATTGGGGGATTAAAGGGCCAGTGGGGTTTATTTATTTTTCTATGGTTCATGACCCCTCTACGGTTTTTTGGTTTACAACACTCGTTTGGAATGGTATTGGAGTTATTATGATTGTCGACTGTCTTGTGTTTACTAAAAAACAAACGTTGGGTAAACTTCAGGCCCACATTTCATACCGTTCGTCTTGGGTTCACATTTTGGCATTGGTGAATCACATAATAGTAGTCAAAACGAGGCTAAATGTCTTTGTGAGTTTTACTGGCCTTCGAGATGATGGATTATCGTAACTTCGCCACCAACTGATTTCCTTTTTAAGAAAAAAAAAATATTTATATTCATGACCTTTTTTTTTTTTTTTGGTATTTACTAACAGATGAAATCGAAAATTATGTCACATGTTACAATATGTAATCAATACATAAAAAACCAAGTATTACATTCTGATTAGGGTATGCAGACATGGGTATAGTTCCATATCATAGTTGAATAACCATGTATGAAATACAGACGTTTGTCTAATATTTAAACAACTAAGTATCATTTCCATTCATAACTTTTATCATTCTAAATTACTTTTCATATCACGACTTATCTCATTCAAATAAAACGAAAGGCATTAATTTAGATATTGGATGAATTAGACTGTCCGCATTTCAGATGAATTATCCACTTCTGTCTAATGTCCACTACACGTTACATTTGTTCGTGAGAAACTTTCTTGGCACTTTGAGTCCACGAGATTCAGATAGAATTTGATTGTTGATGTTTCAAATTTCCAATAAGCAGAATAAAGTTACATTTTGATTGGAAGATCCTATTCAACTACGTGGCTATGTTTAATACCAAAAACTATACGTCGACATATTTCATCCCAAAGACATGCACATACCATAGAGAGAGAGAGAGAGAGAGAGAGAGAGAGAGAGAGAGAGAGAGAGAGAGTGTGTGCGCGCGCGAAAACATTGCTCCTGAAAAATAAAGAAGTCTTGCATAATAATCTTTGATTCCAAATGATTAAACTTGTAAAACCTACATCAAAACCCCAATATCTTCTCGGTGACATTAATAAGACATTCACTTTCCCTTTCCTTTCGATGCAGATCCCTTCTTTAATGGCTTCTTTTGGATGTTCTTCTTCGGTTTTAACGTGCTTGAGGACATCCACGGCTTGTTCTTTCGCTTCTTGTCCTTCTTGACGTTGTACATGTTAACAGCCTGTGTCACAACAATCCAATTAATAAGAGGGCCTCAAACCGGATCAATACTGCAGCAGAAAACCATTTGACAGCGAAAGAGATGAACCTTGTCAACGTTAAATATCTCATGGGAATTCTTAGAGATTAGCTTGTTCAGTACTTTATCTGTTTGTTCCTGCTCTTGCGAGTGTTTCCCTTTTCCTTCTACAACTGGTAAAAACTGAATGCAAAGCCGAAAGAATAAGGGGCAAGAGCATTTATCAGTTTATTGTGATGTGCGACAAATAGTTGAACATGGCTAGGATGAGAAATACATACCTTGCGGAACTTTCCTTTATGTTTAGGAGGTTTTTCCCCTGGCAATTTCTTGTCAAACTTACCACCACTGGCCGTTGCAGTTGCTGCTATTCCTGCTACATTACCCAGTTCATCTTTAGAAAACTTCTTCGTTGCAGACTGGGTTCCCGTTATGGGCAATCGTGTGGCAGCCAGTTGAACATGGCTGTAGAAAGAGTTTAGTTAGATTATGCTGTGCAATGGAAAAGAAACATCTAAGATCACTGAAACTTTCCCAAAGTGTGAATTTCCAATATAAACGCTAGCTTATATCGTTTTGTAGTTATTGATTACCAAATTGGATGTCTAAGCAGCTAACTGGTTTTCTACTTTAACTAGTGACGAGCCATCTATGTTTTGAATAACATGGAGAAGTAGAAGGGCATACCTTGGTAAAGCACCGACTTTTGCAGCTTGCTTCAAGTTCTGCAACCTATTCTTGTCTTGTTTTTCAACTCTTTTCTTTTTATCCTCTTGCCTTTTAGCAAAAGGATCCTCCCCTGGCACTGAAAAAAAGTAACGAGAGCAGAAAGATAACTTTCGAATCATGCATTTCAGTGCTTACAAAAGAAAATAAGAAAGCTTTAAGATTTTGAAACAATTACCATCAGTCTCCTTCGCCTCAATGATAGGTACACTATTCTCATCATTTGCACGATCATATCCAAAGCGACGTTTCCAAGTTTCAGTCGGCTCGTCATATGCAATCTTGTCTCTTTTACGATTCTTGATACCTGCAATACATATCAAAATAATATAACCAACACATTAGTTCAGCTTAAGGATAATCCAATTTCTGAAAATCTTAAATCCAACTATATTTCTCAAGGCCCAAATGCCCACATGAGAAACTCTAAACAGAGCCTTAAGGGGGGAACGACGAAAGAAAAAAGAAACAGAAGAAAGGTACTATTCAACTCATACAGTAATGACCAACCTTTTGTTTTGGCAAAAGTTTCCCATTTCGTTGGAGGTTTAGGCACTGGAAGCTGTAGAGAACAAAAGAATATGCCATTGGCAGTCAGACGTTTATGCTAAGAATACAATAGCAACTCTTAAATCGGTTACAGAAAAAAACCAGCAGCATCAACAGCCCTTTTGCATATGCTAACATTCTAGTCAACCAATTTGCATGAGAGGAACCGTAAATTGGCAGCACGACAAGGGGGATCAACAAAAATTTCGACAGTTACCTAAAACTACCATTCCACTTCTTTTCAAACAACAGATTGTGAATCACGTATTCACTATCCAATGTTAATATGCATGATCAAAACCTATAAAAAAAAAACGTCGTTGGAGAATCATAAACTAAGATGAATGCCTTACATGCTTCTGTCTTGGCAGTTTAGTTTCAGGACGGGGCAATTGCACAATTGGACCGTCTATATCTTCAGTTGAAGGTAAGTTGAAAAGACTATTTGCAATAGCTTGAACCAACTCAGTCCCTTTCGTTATACATTCCTTCACTAATTCCTCCCTAAATTAATAAAAACAAAAAACCAAAAAGCAAATCAGAATTTCACCCACTGAACAAAAACCTATCAGCATAGTGTAAAAAATTCACTATTTAACTTAAAGACTGCAACTCTACTACTGGGACTAATCCAAATTAAAAACCCAATTTCCAAAATTATAAATTTTCAATAATTTCTCAGAGCACAAACAGTTACAAAGACAGAATTATACAACAACAACAAAAAAAAAAAAAAAAAAAAAAAACAAGAGAAAAATAAATAATTACCTGGAGGAGGGATTAGAGGGGAAGCTGTGATGAGGGTCGAAGGCCATGAGATTACCCAGATCGACTTGAATCTGCTGCTGCTGCTGCGGGATCTCCATTGCTGCGACCTCTTTTGGTTCCGCAGCTCGCGACTTGAAAGCTGAAGAAAGAAGAAAGGAAATAACTTCAGGTTTAGGGGTTTAGGGTTTATGAATAAAGACGATAATTTTTAGCGAAAAAAACAGACTAGGATTGGGCCATCTGGATCTAGGACTGGGCCAAATGGGCCATCTAATCTTACAACTTTGAGAAAAGCTTATGGATGATTTCGTTTTCAGTTTGTTTAAACGTTTTTTGAAACTAAAAATTGAAATATTGTTTGGTAATCTTTAAAAAAAATTGAAAACAGAAAATCAAAAATTGAAAATTACTTCCTTGAGTTTCAAGTGTTGACTTTATTTTTTTTTTTCGAAATTGGAAGTAAATAGCAAAATAAAATGGCTATTAAAAACTAAAAACAAAATAATTATCAAATAGACTCTTATTATCCCTAAGGAAAACGACTTTCATGTCACAATTAGACATTTATCGTCGCTTTCCATGCCAAGTAAATTATTCTTCTCCAAAAGCTAATGTGACGTTTTCAATCAATAAATGATGTCATATGCTATATGATTTTCTAATAGCGTTACAAGGTTGGTTTGAATTTCTCACAAACATAAGCATGATAGATTTAAATCACCATCAATAAAATGATGCCGTATGTTATAAGATTTTCTAATAACGTTACAGGGTTGGTTTGAATTTCTCACAGACCGAAACATGATTGATTTAAATCACCGTCACCTTGACTTCTCCGTTTCATATCAATATTCCTACGGACAACTGGGCCAAATGGGCCTTTTGTTGCTGAATATTTGGGCTTATATAAATTGGGAAACTGTAACCACTTTCAACCGTCCTCAAAACCACATGAAGGTGCCAAACTATAAAAGAAGAGTCAAGAACTACCACTTCCTCCAAAATCCCTCACCGAGTCGGACTCCGCCCCAAATCTCCCGCATCATGAAACCCTAAATCGATCAAAATCTCAAATACCCAGTAATTGATTGATCCCCGGCACATATCTCCTTCAGATTCATCTCCCTCGTAAGTCAAAATTTCTCCTTTTTTTTTTTTCAATTTTTGTAATCCAATTGAATTCAATTTCTATGGGGTACTAGTTTTCCGGGAAAATATTTGCTGGGAATTCTTTGTTTTTGTCTTCTGGAAAATTTCGAGATGGATGGAAACAAAGACGATGCTTTGAAATGCTTCAGAATTGGGAAAGATGCTTTGGAAGCTGGGGATCGAAGCCGTGCCGTAAAATTCCTGACTAAAGCTCGCCGTCTCGATCCGGCGTTGCCCGTCGACGATCTCTTGTCGTCGATTGACGGAAATTGCAATCCTCAATCGGGTTCGGATGCTGGTGGGTCTGCCAATGGGCCATCTGGGTTGGGTTCAGCTAAGCCGTTCGATCAACCATCGGTTCGCCAGAGGGCTACGGCGACTGGGTCTTCGTCATCTAAACCATCGGGAGCTGCGTCCTACACGGAGGAGCAGATTGCGATGGTGAGACAACTGAAGAAGAAGAAGGATTACTACGAGATTTTGGGGGTGGAAAGGAGTTGCACTGTTGAAGATGTTCGAAAGGCTTATCGAAAACTGTCTTTGAAGGTTCATCCCGATAAGAACAAGGCACCGGGAGCTGAGGAAGCGTTTAAGTCCGTTTCGAAGGCGTTCCAGTGTCTTAGCAATCAAGAGAGCAGGAAAAAGTATGATGTTATGGGCTCTGATGAGCCCGTGTACGAGAGACGTGCTACCAAACATGGAGCACATGGATTTAATGGCTTTAATGGCTTCTATGATGCGGATGTCGATGCCGAGGAGATCTTTAGGAACTTTTTCTTTGGAGGAGGAGGAATGGCTCCGGCAACCCAGTTCCGGGGATTCAGTTTTGGGCACAACGGAATGGGGCAGAGGGGTGGTGATCATGGCTCTGGTGGGTCCAATATTCGGACTCTAATTCAGTTGCTGCCAGTGTTACTTATTCTGCTTGTCAGCTTCATGCCGTCTTCTGAGCCTATCTATGCTCTTTCGAGGTCCTATCCCTACGAATACCGCTTTACTACGGAGAAGGGTGTGAATTTTTATGTTAAGTCAACCAAGTTTGAGCAAGAGTTCCCGCCACATACCTCGGAGCGTGTCAATCTAGAACACCGGGTTGAGAGAGAATACTTCAACACTCTTTCCCAGAATTGTCGGCTTGAGATGCAGCGCCGCCAGTGGGGATTTATTCGCGAAACACCACATTGTGACATGCTGCAGCAGTTTGAGACTGCAGCTTAAACTCTAGAACCAAAGGTCCATTTTATTCTGCCATATTTTTCTTTTAGATGATGTAAAGTTCTGTCTTTTATCGGGAAAACTAGCGAGGAAATATGCAATAAGTGATTTTGTTTTTTGTTCTCTCATGATACAAACTATAAGCATTAAAACACCAGATGTTACATCTTGCTCCTCCCTGTAATACTTCACCAGATATTACATTTGTTACGTTTATGTTGATAATGGCGCAAGCTAACGTTCTATGTGTGATCGGGTTATGGAATCTATATCTGGTAATCTCTTAGCTCTAGCAATGTGTTATCATCGATACGATCTCTTGCTGAAAAAAACTCCAAGTCGAAGTTTTAGACAGAGATGACAATTAAGTTTCTGAAAGGATGAATCATTTTGTAAAGCCATCTTGTATTTGTGGTGTTTTCGTGAATTTTAGTGTTATGCCTCATCTCAGCACCCTTTTACCCATTCTTCTCTCAGTGATATGCTACTTCACTTGACGGCTAAGTTTTGTTAGCTAGTTTGATGAAACTACCACTCGTTTACTAATCTACGGTTTCAAACAAAATGATGATTCTTTCCGTGTTTTTTTCTTCTTTTTGTGTACCTGTGTGGATTGATAGTATGAATATATACATAATTGTATTGACAGATTTGCTTAAATTTATCTCTCAAGTAATTGGAGCCAATCTGAAGTTGAGTTAGGTTTGTGTTGTGTTTGAAGCGAGAGGTTAGTTAGCATGCCGGTTTTTTAATGCCTGGCTGCGGTGTTTGTGTTGACTCGTTGCTAATTTATCTTCATCGAATGATGGTTGTTTTTTGGCTTTTACATGAATAAAATGTAATGTCTCATTGTTATCGAAATTGTAACAAAGTGCTTTGCATTATTGTTCTCTGGTGCAGACTGCTTGTTTGGTGCCAGTCTTTCAGTATTCTTGTTGCGGACCATACGCACGGAGCAAAATGCGAAGGATAACAGCTGCAAATTTTGGAGTCCTACATGATGAAAATCGGCAGCGGCTGCGGCCTGCGGCCTGCGCACGTTTTATTTTCTCTAGTCCTATGTATGATGCACAATGAGTTTGTGTAAAATTGTTTGCGATTTACCTAGTGCTGAGTTTGTATGCGTAACCACGATTGCGATGAGCTCATATGAGAGCTTTGCTTTTGTGAATGTTACATATCATGTTCAGTACACTAGTTTAAGAAATAAAATGAGTAACGGGGACTTCTAGTTTCCCAGTTGTAGATATTGGGCCGGTTTGGGAATTACTTATGGGAACGCTAAAAGCGTTTATGAGCGTAAGTGTTTCTTACTGAAGCAGTCACAAATGTTCATCGCTCGTGACAAGAATTTAACTCCGCATTCCCTTTCCTTTGATTTGAAAAAGGAAATAAAGAAATGACAATGATCATTGAGCAAATTGCAACATTGTAAGGGGTAAAGATCGAATGTGAAATTATAGTTTTAATTCAACTGGCTTCTCTCTCTCTCTCTCTCTCTCTCTCTCTCTCTCTGCTTCAGAAAATAAACTTGTATCTCGCTGTGTCTCTGCAGTTGCATCTCTAATCCTTGGAGGTTATGACCAGCAATCCCAGCGCCCCTATGAGAATGTACTGCGAGAAAGAAACACGCGAGACAACACTTAACCTTCAAATCGAACGACAAGAGATTCCGCCAACGGGTTATATAAAATTACGTTTCTGAGTGAGTAATAATGCATGATTAGAAGAAAATCTGAAGAATGTAAGGATGTGTAAAAGCAAACCTTGATTATAGGCTTTTTTGTCATGATAATTGTCACCCAGCCAACGTAAAACCTGCAGAGGAACCAAAAATGTATATGAATACACTTCATATTTTATATATGTATCCGTGGCAGAAAATGACCGCATTCTTCTTTCAGTGAAACCTTTGTTTTCGAGGATAAAGAAGGCAACGATGCAGATACAAGCACAATCGAAAATCTCCCAGGTACAACTCTACCTTCAGATAACCAAATAAATTTTAACATGTATTAACCCTTTTGACAAGATAACTTCAGGGTTTAGGCAGATATAAGTACCGTGCAGAACCGACCATTGTAGAGGTAAATCAACCCTTATGTTAGTGTACAGCTGATGTTAGATGCATCAACGTTCAATACATACATAACTGGAACATGTATTCCGATTTCCAGCAAAAATTATGTATTGTGATTGTCTTTGCATTGTTCTAACTTATGTCACGGTTATTAACTTACCTAACAGCTATAAAAATTTTACCAAACAGATTAAAAAATGAATTTCAAAATATGAAAGAAGAATACCCAACAGCTCTCCCCATGATATGGCGTCGGTTCAGCCACCGCTGGCCCCAAGCATATAGGCTCCTGTCATCATCAAAGTTATTGTCTCCTGCAAAATAGTAAACCAAAACGACAATTACTAAACCATAGTATATAAAATGATAATCAGAATCGTAAGTATCAAAACATATTCAAATCCTTGAACTTTATCACGTGCAAGTGCAACTACACCATCATCTAATGACTTCAAGACTTTGTTTCATTTCCTTTCTTCATAAATTACATGGACAATACAACTGCAGATGATTTATCGTGAACAAGTGACAGGAACACAGATTAAAATGGTACCTTTTGTGAGGACATAGACTTCTCCAGTATCTTTGTCCTCATGAACCTAACAGAAAATGGCCATTATTATCATTAAACAGACTCAACGAGCATGAAAGAAGATGCTATCACAGGGCCAACCTTTTGCTCAGATGGTTAGCTTCATCTAGAGGTAAATGAAGCAAGTTCGAGAATCGAACAACTGCATGTTAATATGTTTCATGCTTCCTGTAAATTAACCGGTAAAATACATTTGTTCATCTCTCCGTTGCATTAAATTATGAAAAATAAAATAACAGAGTTACATAAAATTATGAAAACTAAAATGGATACCTCCTCAAATATCCTCAAAATTCACCATTTTACGAAAGGAGTTGAGCATATTAACTATTTCTTCTGCTTGTGGATGGCAAAGATCACCAACAAAGAATTCTTCGGCCGCGCCATTTACCTCTATCACACTGGAACCAGGTTTCTTCTTCATTCCCGCTTCATAGATCATATTTCTGACTCTCTTCGCCTCCAATTCCCAGCCAGCTTCCTTGTACATATTATACGAAAGAACATGAATGCCACAGTCAGCTACTCCCATATCTGCAAGCTTCTTCCAAGTTCTGTCACCAACTTCAACATTCCCATGAACTCTACATGCAGCCAGCAATGCTCCCCACACATTGGCATCCCCATTTCCTAGCCCTCCCATCTTGTCCTCTATAAATTTCTCAGCTTCCTCCACCATGCCTGCTCTGGCCAATAGGTCAACAATGCAAGCGTAATGTTCAAGCCCAGGTTTAACCCCGTAAAGGGTCTCCATTTGATGAAACAATTCAAGGCCCTTGTCAACCGTTTTTGCATGTGTGCAAGCCGAGAGAACGGCAACAAATGTGGTCTCTGTGGGTTGTATCCTATCTAAAACCATTTTATTGAAGAGTTCAAGTGATTTCAACGCATCCCCATTAATTGCAACTCCAGCGATCATAGCAGTTCCACGCTTTGGCATCCTTGTTAAGAATGCCCTCAAAAACCCGTAATGCTGCTTCCACATATCCGCATTTCGAGTACATATCAACCAGAGCAGTGGCCAATCTCGTGTTCAATTCAAGATTGCACCTTTTAGCGTAGGAGTGCACCCACAGTCCTTGTGTGACCGCACCGAGATGAGCAGAGGCAGTCAGAACACTAACAAGAACCGACTCATTAGGCTTTGTGCCTGCTTCTTGCATTTGCCTAAATAAAGAAAGCACCTCCCTGAACTCGTTCACCCGAGAATACGCAGCCATCATCGCACTCCAAGATATAGTGTTTCTCTCCGGCATTTCGTCAAACAAAGCTCGGGCATTCTCAACATTCCCTGTCTTCCCATACCCGTCAATCATTGCCGTCCACACTACCACATCCCTGTTAGGACTTTTATCAAACACCATCTTTGCAGTCTCCATATCAGGGATTACGGCATAAAACTCAATCAGCGAGCTAATAACAAAAGGGTCGTCACCATACCCGAACTGAATCACATGGCCATGAACTAATCGACCACTGAACTTCAAATTCAGTGCGAGAATCGTGCACGCTTTAATCAACGGCGGAAAAGTGTAGTTATTCGGAACAAACCCATAATTCAACATGTCTAAATAGTACGAAATGGCGGGAACCGGCGAGTGCAACTGAACACATCCTCTGATCATGGTGTTGTACATGAAGATGTTGCGGTGGTTATGGTGGTGCTTGAAAATTGAGCACGCGTAGGATAAAAAGGAAGCATCTTTGGAGGTTGCTGCGGCGGAGAGGAGCGGAGCAATGGCGTACAGGTTTTCGGGTAGACGGCATGTAAGGATTTGAGCGTGGATTTGCTTGAGCTGGTTTAGGGTTTTGCATTTTTGTGGGAGGGAAACAAGGCCGTTGCTTCTAACGGTTTTCTGAATCATCTGAATTGGCGGGTTACCCTTTGGGCGGTCCCAAGAAGAGTCTGGAGATATGCGGTGTTCACAATTACAACTTGGTTCAAATAATAATGGTATTCCTACTACTACGGTATATTGGTATTCCTCTTCACTTGTAAGTGAGAAGTTTTAGCTTCGATTCTCGTCAATGGTGAATTTGAATCACATTATTGCTAGCACACTCTCATCCCCTTAATGTAGATAATATCGTTGGTTAAAAAAAAATAATCACTCTTTACTTGTGTGGATTGATAGTATGAAATATATGCACAATTGAATGAAAGATTTGCTTAAACTTATTCTTGTTGCGGACCAAATGCGAAGGATAACAGGTGCAAATTTTGGAGTCCTACATGATGAAAATTGACAGCGGCCTGCGCACGTTTTATTTTCTCTAGTCCTATACACGATGCACAATGAGTTTGTGTAAAATTGTCTGTGATTTAACTAGTGCTTGCCATGTATGCGTAACCACGGTCGCGATGAGCTCATATGAGAGCTTTGCTGTTGTTAATGTTACATATCATGTTCAATACACTAGTTTAAGCAATAAAACGAGTAACGGGGACTTATAGTTTCCAGTTGTAGATATTGGACCGGTTTGGGAAATACTTATGGGAACGCTAAAATATGAGCAGAAGTGTTTCTTACTGAAGCAATCTCAAATGTTCATCGCTTGTGTTTCCTCTGATTTGAAAAAGGAAATAAAGAAATGAAAATGATCATTGAGCAAATCGCAACATTGCAAGGGGTAAAGATCGAATGTGAAATTACAGTTTTAATTCAACTGGCCTCTCTCTCTCTCTCCTGCTTCAGAAAATAAACTTGTATCTGGCTCTCTGCAGCTGCATCTCTAATCCTTGGAGGTTATGACCAGCAATCCCAGCGCCCCTATGAGAATGTACTGCAAGAAAGAAACACGCGAGACAACAATTAACCTTGTAATCGAATGACAAGAGATTCCGCCGCCGTGTTATATAAAATTACTGATGCATGATTAGAAGAAAATCTGAAGAATGTGTGCAACTTAAGGATGTGTAAACGCAGACCTTGATTATAGGCCTTTCTGTCATGATAATTGTCACCCAGCCAACGTAAGGCAAAAACCTGCAGAGGAACCAAAAATGTATATGAATACACTTCGTATTTTATATATGTATTCGTGGCAAAAAATGACCGCATTCTTCTTTTAGTGAAACCTATTTTTTCGACGATAAAGAAGGCAAAGATGCAGATATAAGCACAATAAAAAATCTCCCATGTTCAACTCAACCTTCAGAGAACCAAAATTTTTTAACATATATTAGCCCTTTTGACAAGATAACTTCAGGGTTTAGGCAGATATAAGTACCATGCTGAAATGTATGCAGAATCGACCATTGTAGAGATAAATCAACCATTATATTAGTGAACACGTGATGTTAGATGCATCGATATTCAATACATACATAACTGGAATATATATTCCGATTTCCAGCAAAAATAACATATTCTGATTGTCTTTACATTGTTATAACTTATTTCTCAGTTTTTAACGTGCCTAACAGCTATAAAAGTATCACCAAACAGTCAGAAAAAGAATTTCAAAATAATGAAAGAAGCATACCCAACAGCTCTCCCCATGATATGGCGTCGGTGCAACCACCGCTGGCCCCGAGCATACAGGCTCCTGTCATCATCAAAGTTATTGTCTCC